CCCTAATCGTCCTTCTGTTTACGTGTGAGCGTCCTGACAGTATCCCAGCCCTCCTACAGCCGTTACATTTACAGCTAACAATACTTTCATGTCACATCGGCCGTCGCGTAGTGCCATCGGCCGGATCGCCTTACTTGCTGCATACAGCAGGGTGGGTAAGCGAAAAGATGCTACTGCGGACTCCTCCCTTCTTTCGCTTTCACGTTTTCCCTCTTCCACTCTTGCGATGATTGTGCCAGAAACAGAGAGTGAGGGTTTCCGAATGGTTGGCTTTAATCTTCTAGCAATTTCAGTACATCAGCTAAAACAGGAAACACAATTAGTTTAACGAATAGCGAGGAATAGCGAGTAAAAAGTTAAACACAACGTCAGTATATGGCATTCTTCCCCGCCGGAGGGATTGTTGTCAGGAGAATATAGATTAGGCTTCGCGGTTTCGAAAATTGTTGGTCTGTGATGTACTGTAGGACATTCCGTGGAACATCACTGGGTTGTTCTGATGGTGCTGTTTCGCCTCCAGGAGAATCAAGCGAGTCTGATTGAGTCTCGTCTGGAGGAGCCGATTGATTCAGCTAAATAGACATCTGCGATATTTTGTGCTTTGGGTGCCAGATGTCTGAGAGAAACAGTTTCTTTCTCTCCGTCCGGGAAACGAACGCAGGTATACTGCGGGCTGCACTTAACAAGTTCCACCTCTTCCACTAACGGATCGTATTTGGAAAAACGTGTCATCCTTTTAACAGAACGGGGCCTTGGGTCGATAACCAAGTCGGAAGAGAGGTGCCGTACGTTGACTTCCGGTGGAAGTTAAAAAATCTTTCGTGTTTTGTTGTGTTAGTAGCGGTGCATAACAAGAAGCGGACAGAGTGTGAAGCATCTAGAAGCACACATTCCCACTCAGTAATGTCCCTGTAGTGGGAGTCGATGACTTAGTTAATCGATTGTTGATCCGTTGAGTAGAATGAGAAGACTTCGCCTAAGGATAGGCTTTATTCGACATATAAGCACAGTATAGGCTGAAATGACAAGTGAAAGTGAATTATTGGAAATAGCAGTATAGCGTAACTTTCACTACAGTCCCGTTGTTGGATCTTCAACGCCAGAGTAATTGACTTTCAAAGAGTACCGTTAAACCATTCGGCTTGTCCGTTACCGCGCGGATTGTATGGGGTAGTTCAACTGGTTGCCACACCCCTGTCGTGAAGAAACGTTTGTACTTCACCTGACATGAAGGCTCCACCACGATCAGAATGGACGTATAAGGACACTCCGAACAAAGAGAACAACTGATTAAAACACTTGATCACGGTGGATGAGGACACATCCGTACACGCGAAGGCGAATGGGAAACGAGAGTACTCGTCGATCATTGTTAGAAGGTATTTGTTGTGGGAGGTCGATGGAAGTGGGCCTTTAAAATCTATGCTGACGCGTTCAAACGGCTGTGTAGCTTTAATAAGATTGCCAAAAGGGTGATTGAGGAAACGAGGCTTCAATTCCGAACAAATACTACACTGATTTGTAATCGCCTTAACATCATCGGTCGAAAACGGCAAATTTTTTGAGCGAACGAAATGAAGCATCCGCGTGATACCGGGGTGACATAATGTATTATGAAGATGTTTGAGATCCACCTGTGACATCGCAGATACGTAATCAGTCCGCGATAGTGCGTCAGCGGCTTTATTCTGATTACCTGGACGGTACTGGACATCGTAATGAAAACAGGACAGTTCAAGTCTCCATCTCTGGATTTTGTCGTTTTTTACTTTGCCTTTGTGTTGTTTGTCGTACATAAAGGCGACTGATCGTTGGTCCGTGACAAGTGTGAAGTGATTGCCGATCAGGTAGTGTCTCCACTTTCTCAGAGCTTCAACAATCGCGTACGCTTCTTTTTCGATTGCTGAATGATGCCGCTCACTGTGTGACAGAGTGCGTGAAAAGAAAGCTACCGGGCGCCCGTCTTGATTGAGAGTGGCCGCAATGGCTATGTCGGAAGCATCAGTTTCCACAACGAGTGGACGAGTGTAGTCTATGGTGAAAACGGCTGCCTTTTCCAAATCGTGTTTGAGCTTATTCAGTGCCGCTTGTACGCTATCTGGAATCGGGAAGATCTGATTGCGGACGATTTGATGAATCTTATCTGAGAAACATGGGATCCAGTGTGCGTAGTATGCCAGCATTCCGACCAATCTTCGTTGTGAACGGATGTCACATGGATGAGGCAACTCCCGTAGGGCTCGAAAACGTTCAGGATCCGGTTTTATCATACCATGAGATATTTCGTATCCCAGTAATAGTACTTTCGCAGTAGCTATGATGCTCTTTTTCTGGTTAAATGTAATACCGTGACGTTTTGAGGCCTCTAAGAATTTCTTCAAATTTCGATCATGTTCCTGGGCATCGCGACCACACACGGTAACATTGTCAACATATGCGAATGTATCGAGCAGATTTTCCTCGCGTATGATGTTGTCTATGGTGCGTTGAAAGCAGGCCACACCATTAGTAACTCCGAACGGAATGCGGCGAAATTGAAAGAGTTTACCACATGCCTCGAATGCAGTATATGGCTTGTCTTTGTCGAGAATGGGGATCTGGTGGTACGCACTTTGAAGGTCTAGTGTGCTAAACACCGTGTAATGGGAAACCTTCTCTACAAGTTCGTCCACCTTCGGCAGAGGATACGCATCAAGGTAAGTGAAGCGATTTATGGTTTGACTGTAATCGATGACCATGCGCTTCTTATGCCTGTCATTCGTAGTAACGAGAACCTGAGCGCGCCAAGGAGAGTTAGACGGCTCAATAATTTTGTCAGCTAGTAACTTCCGAACCTCCGTCTCGATAAATACCGTATCCGTGCGAGAGAAACGACGAGATTTAGTGGCAATTGGAGTACATCCAGGGGCGAGATTATCAAACAAAGAGGGGGCGTTGACTCTCGCTGCTTTCAATGTGCATATGGCGAATGGGGGCCGCTTACCCGTGAATGGTATGATGACACTTTGGTGTTGACTGAGGAAATCCAAGCCAAGGATGACGTCTGAACACAAATTGGATAAGAGCGAGAGTTTGACACTTTCGTATAGTGTGCTTTTGTACAGAACGGTAGCATAAAGATGACCGCTAGTAACACACGATAAGTTCGTTGAAGCCATCGAGATAGCGCTCTTAGAGGATGTTATTGTCCAACCATGCTTTAGTGCGATGTCAGAAGAAATATAACTTTCGCAACTACCAGTATCGATAAGTGCGTGAAGTGGGATATTATTCACTATAACATCAACGATTGATTTGGAAAGTCCCATGGATGAAGAGATGTTGAAAATGGATGAGACACCAGGGTTCACCGTCGATGTGATACGGCTTGAACCCAGTTTGGATCGACAAACTTTTTGGAAATGACCTTTCTTGCCGCAAGAATGACAGAAAGACTCACGAGCCGGGCATTTTGAACGAATGTGCTTACCGTTGCCACAGAAGAAGCAAGATAAGGATGTGCTTGCAATCGTGTCATTAGAGTCCGTCTGCAAGATAGGTACCTCACGGACAGGAGTCAAAGGTTTATCTGTTTTGACAGATGCGGCGCCACAGGGAACATGAGAAGACGAGTCGTATGAGAGTGACTGTTGTTGAGCATGCCTCGTCAATCGCTTGTTGAAGCTTAAGAGTGTTTTTTCTAGTAGTCGTTGGCGAACGGAATTAGACTGCAAGCCTGTGGTAAAAGCGTCTCGAATAGCCGCATCCCGATGTTCATCGACAGAAACCGCACGAAACTTGCATTCCTTGGTAAAGTAACGTAATTTTTGCAGGAACGCGTCGACTAATTGGCCCGGTTCTTGTTTGATAACGTTCGACCGGCCTTGACTCCCTAGCCGACCGGCGCAGACTCCTTGACGCATCTGTGGGTGTTTCCAAACTCTCCTGCTTCAGTCTGGAGTCCACCTGCACTTTCGTCTCCAGTGTTTGTTCCGCATCTGGTCCATGCTTTTTAGTTCTGATATGGTCTAAATGACGGCGTATTATCCTCCCGTCTTCGAACAGCATGTCAATAAGGTTACGGTTTGTCGACTTCACACATCCACGCACGAATTCATTATCTGAAGGCTGAAGTTTGACGTAAACCTCCTCGCCATCTCGTAATATGCGAGGTCAGGCGTGTTTATCTGCGTTTTGCTCCATGGAACACTGCTGTTGTTTGACCTTAAGCGCCAAATACGGCCGCAGCAGATCCAAACGTGTTCGAAGTCTTCGTCTCACAAGCAATTCGCAGGGAGCCTGGCCCGTAGTAGTGTGCGGCGTAATTCTGTACTGCAGCAAAAACTTGTCCAACCTGTTTGTAGGGGGAACTGGGCTTTGTTTCCTCAATCTACTCTTTACCGTTGCCACCGCGCGTTCCGCCAAGCCGTTAGAAGCGGGATGGTATGGTGCTGTTAAAACATGCTCAATCCCTTTGGCCCTCAGAAACTGCTGAAATTCTGCACTGGTAAAAGCCGTGCCGTTATCAGAAGCAATCGTATCCGGCAAACCATGCGATGTAAAAATGCTGCGAAGTATAGACATGGTCGACGCACTAGATGCAGTTCTAATGGGCACCGCTTCTATCCACTTGGAATATGCATTGACAATCACCAGGTTCATGTAACCTTCAACAGGGCCACAATAATCCACGTGTATGCCGCTCCATGGTCGTGACGGCCACTGCCATGGTGATATAGGCGCTTATGCGGGCAAAGCCCTACTCTGCTGACACGCTTCACACCTTTGCATGATCATTTCCACATCGTGATCCATACCAGACCACCAGACATAGTGTCTGGCTAAAGCCTTCATTCGCGTGTTACTGGGATGGCCTGAATGTAATTCCCTTAAAATGTCCGGACGGTAGCGCCTCGTTATTATTCTGTTTTGCGATTTTTCACCGGAATTTGTCGGACGTAAAGCTAATGGATGGTTCCATTTGGAATTTCAGCTTATTCTGTGTTAGCTTTCCCCGATTATTGTGCGACAAAATGTTCGGTGCGATTGTTGCTGGTCAACTGGTAGGTTCACTTAAACCATAGTCAATGATTATCCATACAGGTTCAGACGGAGTTTGTGCTGGTCTGCGAGAACAAATTCCTTCTCAAACTGGCACCTTTTGGCGATGTCAACCACCTTGTGGTTTTTCTAACAGGGACGACATTTTTCCCCGATGGAATGGGTGGTGGTGGTAATTGTGTTCCTTTGCTTTTCCATCCAGTTGTTAGTCTATCTTGGTCTCCCGGAGGATAATTTCGTTGCTTGGCACTTTTTGGGTACCTTGAGCAATGACCATCCGAGTGCAATCTACAAGATTGGCAACTTGCGTAAAGGTATGTACACGATTCTTTGTGGTTGGGTATTATGAAGCTGTTGATATTTAACTTACCTGATGATTAGATCTACTTCTAGCGTCCTTCCTTGAAATAAAACACGATGTCATTCACCTGTGTCAATTAGTGTTGTAGTTGAAACGAAGTAAGACACTACTAGGAACACTGTATTTTTGCAGTTTCCCGAGCACTGATGAAGAAACTCGGTACGGTAATTACCTACTCCATTATTTCGTCAAACGCTGAATTCGGGTACAGCGTCCGTGTGCAATTTTTGAAGATAGAAGTCAACGTCGATGTGACCCCTTCTTCAAGCACTTTCTGTTCACTCAGTATTGCATCAATGAGTTTTTTTTGGATGGGTCGGTAGAGAGCCTCCCCCTTCTTTGAAGAGGACTGGTTACTAACCGTCCGTTTCTGGGTACTTCCTACGTTTCCGCCCGTACAGTTCGTACTTTTTTTTGTCGAGCAAAGGTTACATTCAATTCGCCCGTATGCACTGTGATCCAGACGGGTCCATGGTGAATTTGTACTTGATGGCCGCCAGGTTTTCCGATGCGAACGATAATGCTGAATGTTCGTGCATTCCGGAAACAGTTGATGATGAGCACACAACTGGATGAACTGCTCTCCGCTGTCTGTGTGATGATCGTCGACTCCAAATCGACCATCCAAATGTGATTCCAATGTGCCTAGACGATCAAATTTGGCATTCATATCACCCAAAAGGATGACATTGTCAGCACTTCTTTCTTGACGAATGAGCTCAGATAAGGCTGGATGGACAGTGTTCTTAGCATCAGAACTGCAGTCCTTTGGGGCATATACCGACACTGCAGGCAGACACCGTTTGTTTTTTATGTCGAGTGGCCTTCAGCTTGATTAAGCTGGATAATCGAAGAGCGCAAAGACGACTGTCTACTGGAATCTCATCCGGTAAGGAGTACACATTTCTGGGGCTGAGTAAAACTCTCACCGTATATTCTGCGAGTCATCTTCTGGATCACCGGACACACGGAGAGTGAAATATGAGGAAGCTAAATTCGTACTTGACGTTTTGGGTGCATAACCACGCTTGTGTCTTGTGTGCGTGTTTCAAATATACAGCATAGAAAAATCTTAAGGGAGTGTGGGTTCTCAGCAAGAATAGCCGGTTTTCCAATTTGACTTTGAAAGTTCTTATGTAGATAAGAAAGAAAGAAACGAAAGAAAGCGTTCAACTGTAGCACCCTCTCGGTGCCTAGCTGCCATGCCACCCGAAGGAAGCACGAGGGCTGGGATACTGCCAGTTTGCCCAAGCCTAGACAGGGGAAGTTGAGTGGCGGAGGTCGGATTCGAACCACGGACCTTCCGGTCAGTAAATTCGCGCTCCAACCACTTGGGCCATCTCGCTCCCTTATGTAGATAATATCTCGTGGATTCAACTAAGTGTTAATTTGTCTATCGTTAACTGGCAGTAGGGTGTACAAGGCACCCCGATCAGACAACTGACGATCAAATGACCCGGCACCATTTGCTTGTGTGGTGGGAAGGGATTGGAGGGGGATATCGGTTGACATGGAAATCTGAATCACAAATCTGATCCACGAAGTGCCAGGCAAAGGGGTTTTCTTTGGGGACCTTGCCCAGAGCCGATGACTCAACAGTCAGACCTGCTCCCCTGTAGAGGGCTGACATAATCCGAGGGAGCAGGGGTTAAGGCATTGCTGTCTGATTCCTGATGCGGCTGCGCACAGGAGGTGCCTTTTGAACGAAACCAGACTCTTTGGTTCTAAAAGTATTTCGACCCTGTTGAATAATACACCGGTGGTCACGGTTAAACGGGCGATCAGAGTGTGCGGGTTTTACGGCAACCTTTTCTAAATTTTCCTTCCTCGGAGGAAGGCAGCACCGCTGCTTCTATGAGTATGGACATGTTGATCGCCTGGGGCAGACACCTTACTACCTTCATAATCCCATCGCGAAGGACTGTACGACTTTTCCTTCAGACTACCTCGTGGTACGGTTATTCGTAATACATAGTCTGGCTGCACTCGGTCTGACTGCTACTTTTCGGCCTTCCTGGCATGGTTGCATGTTGTGGAACGAAGTTTACGGCGATCCGCTGATAAGCAGTTGGGTTTTGCCGTGTCGCGTTCCGTGTACGAACGTTGTATGTAAGAACTTCAAAATGTCTCTCCTCTGTGGATGTTTACTGGACAGTAAAGTGCGGTATACAGAGTTACGTATGTATAAGATTTAAGTTTTGATCAAAAGGTGACGGTTTTGGCCAAAGATCTCCCGGATAGTGTATAACGCTCAAAGTATTCGACAACATTAGGACCACCCCTTGTCCATGTAGCCGCAATATTGCATATCATTATTATGTCGTAGTAGAAACATTCTGAATCGTCCCATGTGGTTCACATTTTCACGCCCGACCTTGAGCTGTCGTCTCCTTTGGGGGCTTACTATATTTCATTAAGTGTGTGTCGCGGTTGCCTTAAGACGATTCCTGATTATTTTTCAAAACGCTGACCACCTTTAAAGCCCAATATACGCCCTTACCCTATTTGACATGTACTAACATTTCCGGATGATTTTGCTGCAAGTTCACCTCCGATTCCAAGCCAAACATAGTGACCGACAATTGCTGGCAATTTTAACCACCGCTCTTTTTTTGTAACATAACTAAGACCGTAATGCACTCCTCATAAGTTTGCTGAAAATCTTCGACAGCCCACAATTGGTTTCGCCCTTGTTGATGCCCATCAGGTAGGCACAGTCCACGAGTTTCCATTTATCTCATTTTCCGCTTGAACCCAAATGCATGCCAGTTTGGTTTTCACGGGAGACTTACCTGAATTCTAGCTGAATCTTTTGTTTATGGTGTTCCTCTTCAACTGAATGTGTTGCACTAGGCCGACCCATATTTCAGTTGCACGATATTCGAGGTAACGCAATAATGTATAGACGTAGCATACTACTGATACGTTTACTGAAATCTCTTCGGGAGCTCACGATCCGCTCTGCTCTTTTTGGGGCTCATCATGAAGAACGTCACAAATGAGAGATTCAGCTGGGATTCAAGTGAGTCTCCCGTGAAAACCAAATTGGTTTGCGAATGAGCGTATTCGTCAAATAACTAGGACCGATTTTCCGACTGAGGATTTGCGTTAGCCACCCAGTAGCGAAGAACCTTTGAAAGTCGATCCCAAAATCGAACCCACATGACAGTTTTGTTGCTGGTTGTGTACAGGTTGTTTCCATCCTATAGCGTACATGATATACAAATGGGCTGTCGTGTACCTCTTTGCTGCCTTCTAAACTGGCTAAGCGTCACTTTCCTTCCGCTTTTCAGGAGTTCAACGACAAAAATCCGAACATCCTTTTTCTGCTTCTTTTGGTCTATCCCCAACTAACGGAACCGTTGTGGAAGCCCAACTGGGTATTTCAGTCGAGCCCTTGGTCAATCTGCCGCCGAAATCCGATGGGTTGGAATCACAGCTGACCAATGCCGATCACATGACGCGATTCACACGTTTTGCCGCGGAAAATTTATTCAACTATGTGGCCAGTTTTGCCCGTGAATCCCTCTCCCCCTCAGATCCCCTCGTTCCATTGTCAGCAATTAAAAGCTGGTTCGACACAATGCTTCACAAATTGAACCTAGATCCATCATTTTGGAAAAAATAAGATCCTTTTCGTAGAATCCATGCGTACCCTCTTCATTACTCGGATTTCTACTTCCTTTTGGCCTTTTACAACTATCCCTGATTTTCCATACCTTGAGCTTTCATGTTGTTCCGATCGCTTTTGTAAACTACTCGCTACGTTTTCAGCTAGTCCTCTTCCCTGATAATCTCGCTGTTTTTCTTCTAGAAAATGGGTCGTGTGGAGTAAAAACGGGTGGGCCATTGAACACCTGAGGACGTGATTCTTCTCAGAAGGCTTCGTGTATCCCGTGTCTCATTTTGGTGTTTAATCGTACCTTGAAAATATCCTAACGTTCATGTTTCCTGCGGTTAGCTGACGGCCCTCAACAACGCTAAATTCTCAGACCGTCCTTTTGATAGTGGTTCAGGGTACCAAGTCGATATCCGCCCAGTCTGAACGAAACACAGTTCTTCTGTTCAACCTGTATAACCACCTATTTCTGTCCCTACATTATCCAGAAAGCGATCGAACCTCTCGCATTTCTCTTTGTCTCAAAAACCTCCCGGCGTTCAGTTGTTGGTTCTCACGAACGGAAGCTCCACCAGCCTCAGATATCACCTTCATGTATTCTTGGATGGGGACTGAGCCACAAGGTTCAATCCTCCTTGACGAGGCTTCTCCCTGGGGCGTCGCGCTTGTGTACCATCCACCACAGACGTTGCCTCACTTTTCACGGTGATATCTCACACCCTTGTCTGATAGATTTCTGGTTGATGTTCGTCGATGTCATTGGTGATCCATTTGTGTGACTTCCCCGCGGTGGTAGCACATTCAGCGGTTTTGTCTTGCCGTTTGCGCTGTGTATCTCGACTCACTCAAAGTTAGCCAAATTCTTGTCTCCCCTACATCTTCCAGGTAACAATGTAACACATTACCACAATATCGTTACGAGCTTGATTCGAAAATCGTTGGTAGCTATGCTAGTGAATAAACCGATATCAAAGGGGTGTTTGCCGCATCTGCCTCGAGCATAAAAAAAGCACTAAAGAGCGAAGCTAATGGGGAACCGTGGATTGGCCAGCCTTAATTTTCCCTGGCACACTACCAATAGTTCAGTAGTCTGTTGTGTTAAAGTCGTGACTCGGTGCGTAGTTGTGCGTAGCGGTGGATTAGTGGTTGTGCACAACCACTAATCCACCGCTACGCACAACTACGCACCGATGATGTCACCTCGATTGGTGATGAAACGTTTGCAACCAAATTACCCAGCTCAGCGAACAAGCCAACGACCATCTACGATACCTGAGCTACCGACATTCTCCTCTATAGAAAGTCGTGACAGGTTTTACACCGAAGCTGGTTTCAAGGCAAACATTTCATTTTAAGTAAGATATGTCAAGAGAATCACGTGAAGATCACTGCTTGATATCAAGCAGTGGAGACCGTGTAACGGTTTCTCCGTGATTCCCTTTCGGGATATATTTTGTAAACTCTAATGTGAGCTAAAATCCAGCTCCGGCTTAAAACTCGCCAAGGTTTTAACTCAAGCAACACACTATGCTTGTGTACTTTGAGGAACAGTAGGACGAGTCTAGTGGCAGTTTTCTAATGAATATTGAAACCGACTGTCCGAAGGCATCGACGGTACGTGTAGTGGGGAACTGCCACTAAGCCCACGACTGGCAGGCATTCGTTTGTCCATTTGCCTGTCACGTGGGACTATGTACGTGGAACTTGTGAAAAATAACTGGTTTAGCGCGCTGCTTGCGATAAACTGGGAAGAGCGAATGAGGCTGTGGAAAGGATGAAACGTCTCGAAAACGAAATATCAAAAACCACAGTGTGATTTTGGATGGACGGCGACTCGCTTTTCAAAACGTTGATATCAATTAAGGAAATAGAGAGTGACAGAATTCTGAAGAAAATGAGATGAAAGGGTTTCATTCCTACATACGAGTATTTAGGGGATAAATTTTCTGATAGAATGGTAGGGGTGGAGGGACGGAATGGGCTAGCTCCTATTGTCATTTTCGTTGTACCAACATTGAACTTTTCAAGAGTCTGTGAGCTATGCGGTTCCGCGTTGTATCAAATCCTGGAGGGATAGGTGAGTGCTTTACTATAAATGGGACAGCCATATTCCACTTTGAGGTTTGTGAGGCACGCTTCCGTTTGCGTGCCATCCTTACCAGCAATTTGCCGTGTGAAATTCACGTTGGTGCCAATTAGTCCATAAAATGTGCACGCAGAGCGTTGATGTGTAGAAGCTAGTCCAACGAAGAAGCCGGGGGTAGAATGACAGAAGAAGACTGATACTGAAGCACTTGGTTGAACGTTGCTATGCTAACCCCGGTGGTCGTTGGTGGCGCGGTTGATGTTCGGGGTTGCGCGCTCACAATCGGAGTGAAACGGTGCGACAGGAGAGAGAATGGTTCTGAGTATTCTTTTCCACAAACGATAGTGGGTTACGATGGGGCGGTCGATCGTTTGTATAAAGGAGGGTTACGGAGAAACTCTCGTATGTCAAATGGGCTGACATCTGTTGTGGGTACAGGTTGGGGACAGTGTTTGTGAGAATGGAAAGAACAAGAGGAAAGACTGAACCGGTCGGGTCACGGTCAGGAGCTTAGTTTTGGAATAAGGGCACCATTCGCACCAGGTTGTTCCACAATGACCGGCGAACAGTATTTGTGGTCATATTTGGCAGCCTGTTGGCTTGAAGAGAGCGGGTAACTCGATACGAGGTTGGACGGTAAAACGAGCAAACTTCAAGCAGACGTTTCTGTTCTTTCAAATGTGAGGAATTTGTCAGGTTTGGAGAGGAAATGAGTCTGACATTCACGGACATGTAAGTGCTGTTTGTATCAAGGTCGTGTAAGATTTTTCGTGTTGCCCATCATCATGCGTGGTTAAACCATTCAGGGGGAGATTGATCCCCACGTTTGGAGGTGATCAATTGGTTCACGCGGTGAGAGAAAATAACTACAAGTTTTTTTAATCAAAAACAAAGATCACGTGAAAGAAAAACCCTGTGGGTGACACTCAAAAGCGGGCGTATGCCATTCTACTCAGTGAGAGTATCGTAGGATTATATTACGAGAAAACACAATTGGAATCCGGAGCTGAAACAAATGGGACTATCAGTAAGGAAACCGTCCGAAGAACCAAAAGGACGGAAGGAAGTCAACGGGAGCAGAATGTGGTTCGTATCGCAGTTATGGCTAGGAGTTTGGTTGGAAAGTTAAATAAACCGGGCAAAATATTTGACGACTGTAAAGAACCCGATTTGAATCCCTGGAAGAGGACGCTGTGGTCTTCATGAAAAAGGTGAAAAGAAGGAAAGGAGCGCGTCGTCACCACTCAGTGATTGCGAAAATGGCCGAATAGTTGTTCTAACAGTCTACGGGGTTAAAGGACATCGGTGGTACTATTATGACTAAGATCCCATGGGTGCAAAAAGCCTAATCTCGTGTACCCTCCAAACAGAGGAATCCATCAGCCGGGCTTAGTTATAAGCTGAGAAATAAACGGCTGGATAGGCACATCATCCACAAAACAACAGAACAGATACGATGGACTATAAGAAATGGTTGCAACACAGAACTCGTACGAGCGGGCAGGACCAATCATCTTAGTCTGTCGATTGAAGATCCGACATCTCGACTCAAATCCAAGTTTGGACAATCGATACAAATTTGGCAGGTGACGGCGTGAGCCACCTAAGATGTGCAATGGTGCGGCGAATTGGATGTCCACTTGTCTGCGTCCACACTCTGACTACGAAGTTCGATAAGAGGGAACTGGACTGCTTCGTTTGGTGTATCGCTCAGGTCTGAACCAGTCAGCGTTTTCCTGATTACAGGGTGAATGTGCAGCATTGTTGAGCCGTACTGACATCACACGTACACCCTGATAGTTGATCGGGTGGGGTTACTGATCTACACAGTCTTATAACCACTTAATCAACTACAAATAAACGCACGAAGCCTACCAATACTCCAACACATTGCGACCAATTAGGTTGCGTTCGACAAGTAGATGTTTTTGATGGGCTCAAACCCGTACAGCCGTTCACAACACACTAAACACTGTCTATTTTTAGCGGAGAAGGGGAACTGTCTTTTTACCAACGAAAATGTTTTTTTATTAAACGGACTGACTCATTTTCAGCTCTTGCCTAAAGTCACTATCATCTATGAAAGTTCATGTTCCCCTGCTTCAGGGACCACCCTTTCAGAGACCACATCCATAACTGATGCTCAGGACATATTGATATCAACTTTTTGTCTACACTTCCATGCCATACCCCGCAGAACGAGCTTTGAAGCTACGTGCACCTAACCGACTGTCAAAACAACACGTCGCATGCGATCGATGTTTATGCAACGGCGATGCGTGCTTTTTATCGCGAGTTCATCGCTTCAAGGTTGAGGACCATACTAGACTAAACAATCAGCGTTTCTACGGCGAAAAATCCTGTGCTTGGAGCCGCTTTTATGGGATAACGAAACATGTGTACTGTAACGAGACTGACACACCTATCAGATGTTTATTGCGACCAGCCAGATAGATAAATCGGTTCACATATGACAGCCCCCACCAGGGTAGCTTTCACTATTGATGCGCTTGTGATGTATAAGTTGGGTGTCACAGTTATTTCCGGGTGCTACTGCTTACTGGAATACCGGCTCGTGGAGTTTGTGTATTCGTTCGCCTGATCCCGAATCCACTCACTCATTGAGCTGTCGCATGGGACCATTTCATGATGCGAATTTGTGGCGAACGCCCCCCCGACTGGCAGTTATGTGATTCGCATATTTCGAAATGCATACTCCCCACGTGTTGTCTTCCTTGGGATAGCCCGATTTTCCTGCAGCACACGTCAATCGCTTGCTCCTCAGGTGACGGCATCACTACCATATTATGATTTCCAGTTCAAGTATCCATCTGCTCTGGTGGTCCAACTGAAGTAACTGTTCTCTTAGTGGTGCTCTTTGTATGACTATGGAAAACCAGTAACTTACGCGCAGCTTCCCAAAAGACCTCAAAGTACGTTGGTAGTGCGTAGAAAGTACCACCAACAGGACAGCGGAAAAGTGATAACCCTGACTTTCGGCAACTCCGAAGTTTTTCGCATTCATGTGGCTAAACAATAGGCTAATAAGTAGAGTGGTGATTTGCATTCCGCTTTGTAAC